TTTGGTGGGGCCCTGAGGCTCAGTGGGAGAGAGGCAGGTGAACTCTGCTACTCTGTTGGAAGTCACATTAAACCAGGTTTCTCGATCTCAGCACTGCTGACATTTTGGACCAGATACTTCTGTGTCGGGGGCCTGGCTTGTCCCTGGAGAGTCTTTAGCAGCATCCTGGGCTCTGCCCACTGGGTGCCAGCAGCACCCCCACCCCAGCTGTGACAACCAAACATGTCTGTAGACATTGCCCAATGTCCCCCAGGGGCAAAATGGCCCCCAGTGCAGATCTGCCATGTTGGTAAGGTTCATCTTCCTGTCGCCTTCTAATGGACGCGCACAGGGAACCCCATAGAGCGCTGACTGCAGCCAGGCCCGGCACTGAGCGAGCCTTCACAGGCACCAGTGCATTTCACCCTCACAACCGCCTTATCGTAACCCGCCTCTCACAAATGAGGACGCTGAGGTACAGAGAAGGCTCGCATCTTGCCCAAAGTTTCACAGCTACTAAATTCTAAAGTCAAAGAAAAGAGAAAAAAGGCAGGTCTAAGAAAATAAGGTTGTGGCTGTCAGGGAGCGACTTTTTAACATCGAAGAATGGAAGCCACACCAGGAAATAGGACCCACCTGGGGGGGTCAGATGGAGGCGGGACTGGAACATGAGCCCCCACTTCCCTCTCCTGGCTGACGGACCTACAGAAATAATGACAGTGAATATGAGCTCAGTGTCCAGGAAGCGATGGGCGGGGAGGAAGAGGGAGGGGCAGGGGGCAGGCCATCTGGGTACAAATGAGCCACAGTCAGGAGGTCGTGGGTTCCCAGCTGACTGTCTAGGAACAGAGATGGCTCTGTACCGAGTCATCCACATTCTCTTGCCCAAGAGATGAGGGATGGGCACAGCCAGACCTGGGAATCAGAGCCAAGGTGCTCAGCTTTCAAGAGGACCAAACTTTATGAACCCAACTGGCACATTCTATAAATAGTCACCGTTCAACATCCTTGAAATTAAACCAGTTACTACAGCCTTAGGGCCTAACCCTAGCCAGTCCCTCCCAACTCAGCTTCTACCACCTTCGCCACTCACTACACTCCAGGCCACACTGACCTCCCCCAACACATCCAGCGATTCCTACCCCAGGGCCTTTGCACTTGCCATTGCTGCTCCCTGGAAGGTCCTGCCCCCAAGTCTTTTCCCTTGACTCCTTCTTGCCACTCAGATCTCAGCCACCTTTTCAAGGAGCCCTCCCAAACCACTAGACCCAAAGTAGGGTCACTCTTAGTCTATCACCTGTTGAATGTCTCTGTCTGTCCCCGTGGAAGGACAGGTGCTCAGTGCACACACAGCTCCAAGCACAGTCCCTGGTACACAGTAGGCCCTCCGTCAATACTTATAGCATAAAGGAGTGACTGAAAGAGCAAGTCCACACACCACCAAAACAACCGGAACTGAAACAGACCCGCCACGACTGGACCAATAACAGAAAAAACGACACTGCAGGGAAGGGCAATTCATGGAAGAAACCAACTCTTTGTAAGGTCGCCTCCTCCTTCCGGCTTCCTACAACTTAAATTCGTCCACCAGCAGCCTTTCACTTGCAGCCAAAATACCCAAGAGACACCCAGCCCCGGCTCTCCTGGCCTTACAGCACCCACGGGGCCAGGTCAGCAGAGCCGAATTCAAGCAGAGAACCAGCTGCCGCTACATGAATTTTCCACGGCACAAAGTTTTAAGCCCCCAAACTTCTCTTAAGACATCGTTTCGATGAAATGCCTACTAAAATGTCTAACGCATTTTCCACGGAATACGCTGACCACCATTTACGTTGTGCTCGATGCTTTGGGGCTGTTGGGATCATTAATCATGTCACATGGGATGCCCCAGTGCAGTGTGTGGGCTGCGGGCCCCCACGCTCAGTGGCTCCAGATCACTGTGCTGTGGTTTTGGGTTCAGTATTGTTTTTCTCTCTCCTCCCTGGATGTTAGCTATCGCTTCTTGCTACCCATCACTGTGCAGCCTCTACCCGCACTTCGAACCTGCTGTGAATGAAAATCCAGACCCTGTTAGAACTCGGTGTAGACTAGGAATAAGCAGGACCTGAAGGAAAACCCAGGAAGCTGTCCTTTCAATAAGATTCATGGGTGTTGGGTCAGCTAATTTGATGCTCAGGGAGGATTTTCCCATCCTTCTAGGTTCCAGTTTGTGCCCCAAAGTCCACCCTGACCTATCGGCAGCCTCCAGGGTGCAGAGCACTGCCCCCCGACCCCATGAGGAGGGGCTGAGGCTCCTCCAAGTTTCCCTGGTAAACGAGCGTTGGGGCACAGAAGCAGCCTGCTCAGACAGCTCGGCGGCGAGAGCCAAGCGGTGCTCAAAGGCGCCAAAGCTGCTGAGGAGGCTTTTCGAAGTTCTGTGAAATCCTGTGGTTCCAGACATGCTCCCCTCAGCTTCACACTCCTTCCTTTAGGAAAACAGGGCTCTCGGGGGGCCCTTTTGGGAGCAGAGAACCACAGACCGTGCTGAGCACACAACTTGACGGTTACCGGCAAGGCCCCTGGGAGCAGAGTTTTCCAGAACAAAACAGAACCCAGAGCCCCCGCACGGGGACGCGCTGTGGAGTCAGCTCAGATTCCCAATGCCTCGTTTTCCCTCAATTATGCCTCAGGAAGAGAGTTAGTGCCTCTGTCTCCCTCTCGAATAAATGGCTTTGAACAGCAGGGGATAAAAGCACTTTCTTTACATTAAGCGCTTTGAACCGCACTGCGCCACATTTGCTATCGTGTGCCTACACGTATTTCCAGGAAAAAAGATAGTCTAGAGAGCAAGAGTTATCTAGCGGTTATCTCCAGCTATGAAATCATGGATTTTTTTTTTCATCTTTATATTTTGGTTTCCCAAGTTTCCTTCGTTGAGCGTGCACGACTTTTCTAGTTAGGTAGGTAAAAGTTATTTTTAAAATATTTTTCTTTCTCACTTAAAAGAACTCCTCCTCTGTCCCTTGCGTCTCCTCCTTCCTGTGCCAGCCCCCAGTGTATGAGTCCAGTCGGGTGTGCCCAGGTCACAGAAGTCCCACTCCATTCTGAGATGTGTCACAGGCCTCACCGCAGGAAACGTGGGTCCTTGGGAGCCCCCACCGCCCAGAGCGCTATGGGTTTATCTCATCCTTCACCACCATGGCTCCTGCAGCCCTGGAGACGGCCTGTATTCACAGGCCTGACCAACCCGTCTGCTCCGGCTGTCTCCTGGCGCTTTGAGGAGCAGTGGGAGGCTGCCTGGGAGCCTGGGGGAGATGCACAGGCTGTGATGCACCAGAGAGAAGACAGCGTTCGAAGGCAGGTGGACGAGAGTGAACTGGCCTCCAGCACGTCCTCCCACCTGTGTGACTCTGTGCTAACAAACCACTTAGTCTCCCCAAACGTTGCTTTTCTCGTCATCAAAATGGGAATAATAATCCTCACTGGGGATTAAACGAGATGATACATGCCAAGTGGGCATCGGGCACAGGAGGGCACCCCTGCACGGTAAATACTGTTGTTATTGAAAAGAACAGAGGGGCTTCATAGAGGTTCTCACGCTGCACTTCCAAGTATCATAGGCAGCTTTTAAAAGATTCTGAGGTCCAGCTGGGGTGGATATCCCCAGGTGCTACAGCCACAAGAATTGCCTTTTGACCTTACATTCTACTTACTTTCTCTCCACAAATCCATGTCCATGGCATCCTTCCTATTGGCTCAAAATCACCACCTCCAGGAGGCCCTCAGCAAGTCTCCCGTGCTCACTGGAGTTGGAGTTCCTTCAACACCAGTTGAAATTTGATTGAGAATTCAATGTGGAATTTACACTTGCCACTGTATCAGTTGGAAAACATTCTCAAACTATTTCTCATATTTGTATTTTCTACCAGTATATTTGTTTGCTATCTGAGCAAAGATGAGGCCTCCTGGATGCTGGGACATGCTGTGGGGTCTGTGCACACTCCAGGTGATCAAAAAAAGGCCAACTAGTGCAAGGGACCAGTGGTTCTCAGAGTGTAGTCCCTGGGCCCGCAGCATGAGCATCGCCCGGGAACTTGTTAGGATGGCACAGTCTCAACCCACTTGGGAACCACGGCATCTGAGGGTTAACTCTGGGGGTGGGGCCCAGCGTCTGTCTTACAAGCCCTCCAGGTGGGTCTAGGCTTGCTCCCCGTTCGAGGACTGATGAATTAAATTAAAAGCTAGTCTCCACCTGTGTACCAAGGAAGGCCTTTGCTCCTCGATAAGGATGGGGCCAGCAGAAGTCTGAAACTGGTCTGTGTTCCTTGTCTCCAAGTGTTTATCTAACATTCGCAAAAACAGAGCACACCGTGAATGGTCAGATCTGCAAATTCATGTCGAGAAAACCTCTCCAGTGCGGTCTCCTCCCTCTGCCTATGACTGCCGGCATTCCTTACAAGAAGATTTGCCCGAAAACTAAAGTTGATCCCTTACAGGTCATTCGTTAAACCTAATTTTCCCTGTTTTAAGTGGAATATGCTGCCAGGCATTAACTTTTCATTACGATTCAGGAGCCTCATTATGAACTAGCTCATGTATGGGGCCACCAGAAGTAGGTGGCAATGTTTGGATATTTGCACAAAAAACAGCCCGGGTTCCTGGACACTTTGAGTCCTTGGGCTTGCTTTCTAGTTTTTCTCTTTTCCCTACCTTCAGCAGTTTTCACGTTGCTCCCTCAGTGTGGGGTCTTCAAATAGCCCCAGCCTCCCTAACCTGGGCTGAGAAGACAGAGAACACTGCTGGTTGGGGTTGTGTGGAGGCCAAGAGTACACAGGCTGAGGGAGACCCCTCTGGGTCAAATCCTGAGCCTGGCACTCCCATCCTCTCTCTCGCCAACGCTGGCTCCTCAGGGTGCCTCAGTCTGCCCAGCTGGATGGGACGGCTTCTAAGGGGGTCTAATATTTAGTGTTTCGCTGAACTCCTCCAGGCTGGGAATAAATGTCAGTTTTCAAATCAAGGTGCAGGTGTGGAAGTCAGTTTACCTGGTCCTGGAGCTTCTGGAACATCAGCGGGTGTGGTTCTTCCAGTATCTTCTCATTGAGCCGGGACTGCCCCTCGACGTTGACTTGTGACGACGCCTTGCTGGACAAAAAGGTCATGTAGATCTCCTTTGCCTTTTCCTGCATCTAGGGGAGACACAGGGAGCCCGTTTGTCATCTGTGGGCACAGCACTTCCCGGTCTGAGCCTAGCTCTCTGCTCCAGCCAGACCCAGAGGAGCTGCTGCAGGAAGAGAAACGGCTCTGCAGTGCTGGGGGCTTTGGCTCCAGAGCTAAGCTCGATCTGGGGGGGCTCGTGGTCAGCCTAAGCTCCCACCCCCGCCCCTTCCAAGCATCTGTAGCCACATCTCCTGTCACGAAATGGTTACAGTACCCATTGAGAAATGACAGAAAGAATCCTGGCCCAGAGTGAGTGACATTCTGTACCACTCAGGACCATCCTGTGACTTCTCCAAATTAAGGACTCGTGGGAATATTATTCAGCCATAAAAAGTATGAATGAAGGAAGTACTGACCCATGCTCCAACGTGGATGAACCTTGAAAGCGTTATGCTAAGTGAAAGAAACCAGACACTAAAGGCAACATACTACATAATTTTATTCATATGAAATATCCAGAATAGGCAAATCTATGGAGACAGAAAGATGAGTGGTTGCCCAGGGCTAGCGGGAGGGGGCAATGGGCAGTGACGGCATCATGGGGAAGGGGTTCCTGTTTGGGGTGATGAAAAAGTTCAGCAACTAGACAGTGGCAATGGCTATACAACAAGGTGAACGTGCCTAATGCTGCTGAACTACACCCTTTCCAAGGGTTAAAATGAGAGGCCCCAAAATGGCTAAAATGGTAAAATTCCTGTTATGTGTATTTTACCACAATAAAACAAAATCAACTTAAAGCATGCAGACACAACCCCACCAGGTATCAAGCACCTACTGTGCTCCAGGCACATGCTAAGTGATTTACAGCCATGGTCCATTTCCCAAATCCCTGAGCATCCAACAAAATGCCATTTCCTGTTAGCGCCACTTCCCAGAGGAGGCAACGCAGGCTGGGAGAGGCAACATGACTTATTAAGGAGACTGCAGGGAGATTAGGATTGATCGGCTCTAAGGCCTCCTGTTTCGGCTCAGATCCACGCCTGCGAGATACCACCCCCCACCACCCCCCCCACCCCCAGGTGGTGGGGTTTGTTGGCATTCCAGGGCAGGGAGCTTTTTTCAGGTAATGAGATACGAGGGTAAGCAAGGGAGGGGACATTCGCGGCCTCCCCGAGGGCCAAGCGCGTCTCGGCGGAGAGCATCAGCCCCCAGCAGGTCCGGATCAAGAGAGGCTCGTGTGCACAGCTGGAAAAGGCGCGCCCAGCAGGCCGATGTTGCACCAAAACCATCCGTGGCTGGCGGAGGAACACGCCCCCGGTGAGTGCTGCGTCTTAAAAAGAGCGGGCCTCCTTGAGGGGCCGTGGACAGGAGCCTGGTCCTCCAGGGCGGACCCGGAGGGTTCTCTTTCTTTTTTTTGAGAAAGGAGATGTCGTGGACTCGCACCTCCCAGAAGCAAAGATGGGGGCTGTTTCTCTAAACATCAGAGCCCAAGAATTACCTCACCCTACAGAGCAAGCCAGACAATAAACGCCTCTGACATGCAGTCGCGGAGCAACGAGTTGTGGGGGGGAGCGAGGGGGCTTCCCGGGGCCTGGAAAACTGCCCTTCTCTCCAGGGAGCCCCCCCAGGGAGCCCCCCCTGGGGCCCCGCACACCCTGAGAACTTGCTAGGAAATCCCAGGCTTTGAAACCCTTTCGCCTTAAGGAAACTACCAGAAGGCTCCAATACCTAGTGCTTGAAAGAAGGGGGAAAGCAGTCCTTTCACTTATTTTGGTTCTGGGGACTAGTTGGCAAAGGGCCCCAGGAGGCTGAGGTCTGACGTCTCCTGTCCCCCAGAAAGAAGGCCTTGACACGACCTGCAGGAAGACTGCCCAGGTCGGGGTCAAGGCCCAGGCCATGGTGTCTGTTCTGGATCAACCATCAACATGAACAAGTAACTGATGCCAGACTCAAAGGCACAAGGAGCATCTTAAGATAAATACGGCTATTCCAAGGGACAAGTCTGGAGACCATCATGGAGACCCAGGCCAGCCACAGTGTGGGGCTGCTGGCCTCTCAAAGACCACACCCCGCCCCCATGAGGCCATGAGCCTCCCTCCCACCACCCTCATTCTGTCAGGAGGGAAGATTTTTGGAAAACCACTTCCTGTTTTAATGATACTTCATAAAAGCAAAATTTCAGCCAGTCAACAGGATGAGCAAACTCCATGAGAGCTCAGGAGGCAGAAATCACTTCAGGCCCCCCCTGCCCCTTGAACAGTCACACACACACGTTTTCCAGACAAATCCAAGCTATCTTGGGTGGTTCTGAAAAGCAGAAGTGTGATGAGTAGCTGGAGGCGTAGAGTTGGGGGCGGGAGGGGCCAGGAGGAGAGGAAGCAGGTTCTGGGGGGTGAGGGGCGGTCTGTAGGTCAACAATCCTGGCTCAGCCCTACCCTCCAGCCCCCAGCCAGCCCTCCTGAGTCCCTGTCGGGGAGCAGCGTGGGGTCCCTGAGGCACGCAGCCCCGGACCCACCTCCGACTGACACCCCGAGTGATGGCTTCAGCCGCAGAGCTTATCTGCACCCAGATAGGAAGCGTGACTGAAAAGGGAAACCCCGGGCCTGCCGACCTCAGGCCAGTCACGGGAAGGCCTGGTGTCCATGCTGAGAACACAAGAGAAAAGAAGAACCAGCCTCTCGAGTTATTTTGGTAGATTTTCCAGAGCTTTGTTAACCCTGTAATAGCTCCTATCAGGATAGGAACAGAACATCCACCCACGGGTGGAGCTGCCCAGGTCTGTGATTCGGGGTCTGTGATCTGGAAGGGGAGCCGGCTGCTTCTCCAGCCCTTACAGCCTCCACCAGGGCACATCCTCTGTGGAGAGCAAATGTGCCTGGCATGTGACCCCGCCCCAGAAGGTGCTGGAAAAGGACCCTGCCTGGGCCCATGTGATGACTCCTGACCTCAACCTGAGGATGGCCTGTGGGCGTGTTTGCACCCAGAGGAGCTCCTCCCTGACACCCACAAGTCTGGGGCTTTCCTTGCAGGCCAGGCAGTGCCTCAGCCATGATCATGCTCAGGCAGGAGTCAGCAGCTGCTCTCAGCAAGCGCGTGCGCAGAAGCAGCAACTTCTTTTCAACATCAGCCCCAGAAACAGACATCAAGTCAGAAGGGCAAGGGCATCGACAGTCCGAAGCTCAGAAGAGAGTTGCTTTGTATGTTCTGGTTCCTCTCCCTCATCCAATAAGCTTCAACTTTTTCCACTGGGAAAATGAAACAAAACCTCCTTTTGCTCCACCTATAGCTAACGACCCTCCTCCGCACCATCAACTTTCTTACTGAAACATCTCAAAAGAAAAGCATGCACTTTGCGTCTCCGTTTTCTCCTTCCCACCCACTTCTCAGCCCACTCAGGCTGGCTTCCGCCCACCTGCCAGGTTGGCTTCCCACCAGCTCACGATGTCCTCCAGCTAGCTAAGTCCCTCAGACCTTCTTCTGGATTGCTCTCTGCCCCTGGCCCTGCTCACCTCTGCTGCCCTCTCAGGGTTCTCCAGCACCTCCCTGTTTCTATCTGTCTCCTTTGCCAGCCCTTGTCCTTCTGTCCGCGCCCCCCCCCCATCAATTCTGAGGTTTCCCAGAGTTCTGCCCTTGGCTGACTACTTTCCTCATGACATGCTCCCCCAAGATTTCAGCTGAATCCTCTCTCCCAAGCTACCGACCATATAGCCAACTATTTCTAGAAATGTAGGCTTAGATGTCCCACAGACACCTCAAACTTGACACCAAGGAAAGAAGTGGTCCCCTCCTGGTCAGCAAGTCCTGCGGTCTCTACTCCAGGAAGCTGGGAAGCGCCATCCTCCGACATGTCCCTCACCCCCGCACCCTGCCTGTCACCGAGTTCTGCTCACTTTGCCTCCTGCACGTATGTCCATCCCGCCCATTCCCCTCACTCCCGTCACTCTGCCAGAGATGGACGATGGGAGAGGACACAAGAAAATTGGAGGATCAAGCCACTACCTTTATTAATAGCAGCCTCAGAAAGAGAAGGAGGCAAAGAAAATATCAAGTAAATGATTGGAGAATATGTTCCAGAACTGGCTCCAGAAATAGAAAGCAGATGGAAGGATAGTGAATGACCCCACACAGAGCAACACGAACAGCCCTCAGCACCTGCAGGTTGGGGAGCGAGTGCCAACAAGAGACGTCCAAATATGGCAGGAACTCAGGGGCATCGGGTCACCCAGGTGGCAGGGATGAGGAGGGCAGCAGAAAGAAGTCGTAGACCCCCAGGTGCTCAACCCCCAACCCTGAGCTGTTACCTCCCTCCCATCTCTGTCTCCCTCTCCCCAGGAGACTGGAGTTTTCTTCTCTAAAGAAATTGACGTGGCGAAGCTACAGAACAGAGGATGGTGGCAGGGATGTGGTACCAGACTGACTGTGAGGGCTGAGGGGAATCCCGCACACAGACCGCCCCCGCCCCCAGCAAGTTTCTCCCAACCCAGTTGAATGGAGATGTGTCTGCTTTATAAACGTACTGGGCTTGTGGCCACCAGGAGGAGACTGGAGGGTCCTAGTTTAGAGAAAACAAAAGCAGAAAAAATTCAACAGAAGGATTTGAAGATAAAGCTGAAATCTCCAAAGAGAAGTAGGAACTAAAAGCCAAAGAGATGAAAAAATAGGAAGGAAAAAAAGACAGAAGGAAGAGCTCAGTCCAGGGGAGCAGAGCCATCATCGGAAAAGAGAGCGGAGAAAAGGGAAGGAAAGAAGTTACTAAAAAATAATGATGATAATCCTAACAACTAAGGACATTTCCCAGAACCATAAATTTCCAGATTAAAAGCCTCCACAAAGTGCCCACACAATGGATGAACTCCACACCCTCCAAAGCCTCTGACCGTACAGTTTTAGAATATTGGTGATGAAAAGAAGATCCTGCGCTATTCCAGAGAAAAAAAAGCAAAGAAAACAAAACAGCTTACATGTAAAATACTGCTTCTTAACAAAAATGGAAGACAATGGGACAATGTCTTCAAAATTCTGAGTGAGTTTCAACCTAGAATTCAATTCTGTGCTCCATCAGATTATCAATGAAGTGGGAGAGTAGGGAAAAAAATAACATTTTCACTCAACAAAATCTTTAAATGTCTACCTGCCATGTCCCCTTTCTCAAGAAGCTATTGATTCACCAAAATGAGGGAATGACTCAGGACAGAGGAGGACCTGGGCCCAGGAGGCAGGAGAGGGGCAAAGGGGACAGCCAGTGGTAACAAAGGAAGGCTAGGGGACGCCCCAGTGGGAGTGTGGTCAGAGGACCCCAGTAGGACTGTCCCCAGGGGAACCCGGATGAGATGATCTGAGAGGCCTGACCCTGTGCAGCTCTGTATTGAGAAGCATTTTAAAGGCTATCAGAGAGGGTGAAATAAGAAAAGCAAAAAATGGTCCAAGAAGGAAAAAATGTAACGGTAGCATCCTCTTTGGCTTAGCAGCGAACAATAAACAATGAATTATTATTATTATTTTTTAAGGAAGATTAGCCCTGAGCTAACATCTGCTGCCAATCCTCCTCTTTTTGCTGAGGAAGACTGGCCCTGAGCTAACATCTGTGCCCATCTTCCTCTACTTTATATGTGGGACGCCTACCACAGCATGGCTTGCCGAGCAGTACCATGTCCGCACCCAGGATCGGAACCGGCGAACCCCGGGCTGCCGAAGCAGAACGTGCGCACTTAACCACCGAGCCACCGGGCCAGCCCCAACAATGAATTCTTAATAATAAAAATGCAGTCGACAGGGATGGAAGTAAGTGGAACCTCGGTTATAGTAAGAGGAAGTCAGTAGATAACATCTAAAAGTGATGAAGTGAGTGGGGAAGGAACGGAAGCTCAGGGCAGGCCAGTGCCAGGCCCAAGACCACACCGCAAGCAGCTGAGCTCCGATCGGTCTGGCCTGGACCTGCCAAGTCCACGCTGAAAGGCCAAGGTCGGAAAGAGACAGCCCAACCCAGAGGGAGAGGGGAATCTTTAAATCTTTAAATGCTGGTTCAAGTCACTCTCAGAGCCATGATTATTAGAAACTTTGCACCACACCCCCACTTCCCCACCCCACCCCCTCAGTTTGGTTTTTAGAAATCTCTACAAGCTTCCGTGTGCATTTCAATCCTGGTCACATAGGAAATAGGCCCAAGATGCATGTGCTGGTGAATGAATGAATTCAGGAGTAGCCAAAGAATAAACACCTAGTTGGAGCTTTTTCTGAGGTTTTATGAGACATACATGCTGCTTTGTTTTAAAAGATAGATAATTCATGGGGAAGAGGCACTTTATGGAAAAAACTTAAACCAAAAAGAAATTGCAAAGGGAGAGAACTGTTCTGAAAGCTGACTGCTGACTATGAGCACCTGGAAGGGACAACCATCACAGGAACCCCAAGGAGGGTGGGGTGGGGGGTGTCACCCTCCCAACTTCCTAAAGCCCCAGCATCCCCACCGTAAATGCAGAGTCAAGACCCTCCCAAACTTGAGGGGCTGCTTTCCTGCCTGCCAGGGGGCACAGCCCAGACCAGGGAAGACAGTGAAGACACGGCACCGTTCCTCCGTCTGGAGCTTCTGAGAACATGAGCCCCAACAGAAGGGACTGCAAGGTCCCCTCTTAAGTCCATCCCTAAGGCACCACTGCAGCACGAGGTGAGAGGGAGGCCAGGACCCCGCCGGTGTCGGCTGACTTGGGTGGAGAGAGCTGTGTTCTAGGCACTCGGATGCAGTGGGGGAGAAGACAGACAAAGACGTCAGACCTCATGGAGCCCGCACAAGAGAGGGAAAAGCAAATAACACAGACGATCAATAAATAAGTTACGTGAGGTGCCATATAAGTTGCTAAGTACTGGGGAGAGAACTGGCTGGAGAATCCAAGGAAAAGAATGAAAAAGCCCACCAGCACAGGTCCTGTTTAAAACAATGGAGGTCAAAGAGAGATTCGCATCCATCCCACAACTGCCTTCATTCACCGTACAGATAAACCCTCGACAAACTCCCTGCTGGACCAGACGTGATAAGTCTGATTGTGAAATTCAGTTGGGCTGACTCTTCCCACGCTTACATCCTCCTCCACTTTTTAAAATTAGTGACTTAGAACTTAGTCCTGGTTTTACTTCCCCTGCAGCCAGACGCACTAGACATACACAGGCCCTGGAGTCAGAGACCTGGGTCTGCATCCTGGCGCTGTCTGCGGCACCTGGCGAGCTGCTGCTTAACCTCTCAAACCACAGCTCCTGTATCTGGAAGGATGGGAATCGCCATGAGGCCAGTGTGATACCCAGACTCAGGTCTGGACACCGCCGGCCTCACAGATGCTTCCTCCCTTCCCAGTTACCTTCTGCATTCTCAGGCTGCTGACAGTAAGGCAGCATTCGCTGCACCGAAGCAATCATCAGGCGTGTTCCAAGCCCAAGGACACAAACCTTCAAGGAGTCCTATCCTGGGTGACAGGGGTAGGGGTGCATGGAAGGGCTGCCAGACTCCGGAAGCTCTCTGTAGGATGTAGATGGGGCGGTATGACCCAACACCGTGGCTTTCCAGGGTCCACCTTGGCCCCCAAGGCCTCCTTGTGTAGCCCCACCTCCCTCCCTGCCTCCAGCACAGCAGAGGCAGCCTGCTACTCAAGCACGACTTTCCCACCATCTGGTCTTCCTTCAGCTCTTCTCTCTAGGCCTTCCTCCCCACATGCTGTTCCCTCTTCCAGGAACGCTATCCCCACCCCCAACCTCTACTTCAGGTGTCAGCTTAAAAGTCACTTCCCCTGGGGCCTTTCCTGACGGCCCCCTGCCTGTGCTCCCACGGAACCCACACTTCCCATTTCTATACTTGTCACACTTGCAAAGGCTTGTCTTGGCTTCCCCTCTCGATGCCTGTTCCCAAAAGCTCATCTGTCTTGTCCCTTTGTGTCCTGTGCTTTTCACCAGGCCTGGTCTTCACCAGGCACTCCACAAAGATTGAGTGAACTCAACTGAACTGAGGGGCACACCAACATGGTGTGCAGGGAAAAGGACTGGGCGACCCCAGAGTGCTGGTTCAACTCCCAGCTCGGCTGTGGGGGGACCTCAGGTTCCTGGTTTGTACAATGCAGGGGTGAGCTGGCTGACCCATATGCCCCCCTCACCTCCAACCTGCAAACAAGAAGGCAGAGGAAGGGCAATTGGCCCCCTGCTTCACCCTGAGCTAGGACTTCAGGGTGAGGCCGGATGAAGCAGTTGCCAAGTCCAGCATTTATGGGCGGTTGTCCCCAGGCACTCCTGCCTGAAGGGTGGCAGCCCTCAACCCTGCTTTCCAAAGCGGGCCCTCCCACCAGCTCGCTCACTTTTCCCCTGAGGCTGTTCACCAGCCAGGAAGCTCTGGCAAAGGCACCCAGGGAGGAGAAGAAGCCAGAAGGAAGCAAATACCAAGGGTCATGCCCAGGACAGCTGTCTGAGCTGCCCTGGGGAACTCAAGCTAAAGGGACCGTCTCAGACTCCATCCTTGCCCCTACAGAGAGGAAGGTGGGAGAGGGACAGCCACACGGCTCCCTCCTGGGGGAGTTGCGCCTGAGCCCGGAAGAGCCTCTGAATAAACCAACGATGGACGTTTTCCAAGCTGTTGTCTTCAAACACATCATGACTGACGCCCCCGTGGATTTCAGCTTCTGGAGACAGAAGCTCAAAAACTGGCAGCCCCCAAGCCACATCTGCCCATGGAGGTGTTTTATTTGGCAGGTGAGGCTTTACATTTTTTAAAAATTAGTTCCAACATTTTAAAAATCAGACAGCTTCACATAAGAATCCTAAGGTCCAGATTTTCTGGAAAAACAGGCAGCACTGGGCTAAAGATGGGAGAAGACACCTTAGGAAGAAAGGCCCCTCAGGGTCTGAAGACAAGGGTGGGGAAGCAAGGACCTAGGTGGGCAGAACTCAAAGCAGGGAAAGCCTAGACAGCTACAGACCCCAAGTGTTCACTGCGAAAGTCAGTGAAACAACGAGCTGCAGCCTCTGGAGGCAGGGCAGGCTGCCCCCTGATGGCCTCAGTCCCCACCACTCCCTATAGCCTCACACCAAAAACTTCACTCATGCACATTACTTATGGGCCCCTGTAGGCATTTAGCTGGTAGTCTCTTAGAAATACACAGGCTCGGGCCTCATAAACACCCCCAATCCACAGGCCTCCTTCCTCATAATCTCCTCTGCCTCCCTGTACCCCCAACTTTCCATGGCAGAAAGTCCACTGACATTGGAATTAAAGGCTTCCTCCCACAAAGAGTACATATCTACCCAGGAGAACAGTCAGAAACTTTCTGTGTGGGATGCCTGCCAACTACAGGAAGTTTTGGAAGATCTATTAAATAATTGACGGTCCATCTGATTCGCGCTCTGCTTTTATCACTACACGTCTGCTTATCATTTTACTACGTCTGCACCAAACGCCCGACATGTCAGATGCTGGGGGAAGAAGCATTCTCATTACTCACACGTGAGGAAAAACTCGTACGTGATGATAAACTCTAAATGACATGAATCGTTATTTTTGCTTTAAATATTTGTCCATTTGAACAGCTCCATTTAAAAATGGATTAACACTCTTTTTAAAATTATTAATATTTGATCAATGCAAGATACCTACTCTGAAGCTTAAATCTTCCCCCCAATCCAGTATGGACCAGATTTCTTTAGGCAATCTTGAAATCTATTGGAAAGACAGCTGTAGCTTTATAAGGAGGGAAAAACATCATCAAGAATGTGATTACAGGGGCCAGCCCGGTGGCGCAGTGGTTAAGTTTGCATGTTCCGCTTCAGCGGCCCGGAGTTCCCAGTTAGGATCCCGGATGAGGACTAACACACCACTTGTCAGGCCATGTTGTGGTAGGCGTCCCACATATGAAATAGAGGAGGATGGGCATGGACGTTAGCTCAGGGCCAGTCTTCCTCAGCAAAAAGGAGGAGGATTGGCAGCAGATATTAGCTCAGGGCTAATCTTCCTCAAAAGAAAAAGAAAAAAAAAATGTGATTACTGAGAAATACCTGCTTCTTATCTTGTGTTTTCTTGAAATCTTCACATGCGAGCCAAAATAACACATTTTCTTCACTGAATTCCTTTTTTAAAAATTCCTATGGATAAAAAGAAGAAAAAATATCAAACAGTATTCTAGTTTAAACAAACAAACAAATAATGCTTTTCCCTTCACAGCCTGACGTGGCCAAACTTAACACCCGAGCATGGTTCCATCACCCTGTGAAAACTCCATCCTCAAAAACAAAGTGTATGTTTCATGTTAAAGCTAAAACTTCATATGCATTTGAACTCAATGGCTTTGACGTTGTGAGGAAGAGTAAAAACGAAGCAAGAATCTACTCGCAATTCTAAGCTGACAATAAATTACCAAAAAGTAAATTAAAGTGGAAGATATATTAGTTCCTTGTAGACAGTGTTTAAACAAAGTACATTCCTCTAAAATCAGGCCCATTTTTTTTTTTAAACAAAAGAAAAGAAAACATATTAAGCATGTCTAAAAACGCCATGATGAAAACTATTTTAAGTTGGAGGTGTGTTTTTTCTTTTGGCACTGTTGGGGGGTTAGTGGCACAGCCTGCTATTCAGCTGTGCACACAAAGGTGTCCTCCCTGAGACCCAGACAGGGCTCACAGTGGCGTGGTGTCTAGGGATGTTGGTTGCCCTGCCCCCGACCCCCTCCCTGGGGGCTGCAACCGGGAGGCACCCGGAGAGCACTTAGCCCAGCCCTGACCCAAGACTTCAAGACAGGAGTCGGCGGGACTCAGGCAGACACAGGGCATTCTTGAAATTCACATGTGGGGTGTCTGCTGGCCAAAAAAACTATGGCTAGGCAGCGCCAACATCTCCCCATCCGTCAGCTCTCCTCTTGGAGTTCAACTTCACTGTGCCAGCTGTTGTCCAGCCTCTCTTACTCTGCTAACAATGCATCCTGAGCATCCCTGACACACAAGAGGACAAACCTTCACATCAGAGGGAGCCAGACCACCCCTCCCGGGTATCCCAGAGCTGGGAATCCTTTGTAGATTCTGCCAATGAGCATGGGACCACTGCCCCATCATCCCCCACCCCCCAACTATATAAAAAACAGAAACGGTCTGTGTACGCCCCTCAGTGCTGGTCCGTGGGACCAGGGAAAGCCTTTCCCTCTTGAACTTGACAGGTGAGAAGTTCTTATTCTCGAGGTGGGACAGAGAGTGTTAGAAACTGGCCTGTGTCTCCCCCCACCAGGCACCTAAACTTCCTCACGTGTTGCATCAATCCCAGTCAACAAGGAAAAAGGCAAACCCTAAATCTTTTCACGCCTTCTGGGTCTTCGAGCAGATTCTCCAGAGAGGCCGCCCACTTGGCTGTGCTCTTGGGGTTCTGGTGGCTGCTGCTGGGACTCCCATCGCTGTCGTGGATGTCTGCAAAGCAAAATCAGACTGTGGATGTGGCCCCAAGATCCGGTCATTTAAAAATAGCTGCCTATAATGGTCATCAGCATCAGCATCACCACTGTGGCTAATATATATTCAGTTACGTGCCCCAATATATTTGAGACACTTAACACAGTGAACTCATTCTAGTCCTGACAACAACTTTATGAAGTAAGCGCTACCATTCCCTCCATTTTACAGATGAGGAAAACTGAGGCTCAGAGCCGGGAAGGGACATGTCACTTCCCAACACTCCCCATACATCCTTCCCCCACCCACATGTCCACTCGCCAACTCGAAGGCAGCCCTCAGTCTCACTCAAACCCTCCTCCCAGGGACCAGGACTCAACAGGGACTCCTTCCCCATTACACTTTGTGCAGTCTTACAACGGTCATGCTGCGTTGTCACTGTTTGCATGACTGGCCCTCACGAGTCTGAAAGCTCCTGTATATCTTGATCTTGCTTGTCCAGCATGTAGCTCATTGCCTGGCGCATAAGTAAAAGTATGTACAAGGGGCGGGCCTAGCGTGGGGAGAGGGAGGGACTGGCTGCAGGTGCAACATGGAAGGGGGCTGCCAAAAAACTCAGGCATCAAGATAAATATTTTCATGCAATATTTTGAAAAATCAAAATTAATGCAAGAAAATTCCATAGTGGGGGCCGCCCCCTGGCCGAGTGGTTAAGTTCGCGCGCTCTGCTTTGGTGGCCCAGGGTTCCACCGGTTCGGATCTTGGGCACGGACATGGCTCTGCTGGTCAGGACATGCTGAGACGGTGTCCCACATAGCACAACCAGAGTATACAACTAGGTACTGGGGGGCTTTGGGGAGAATAAAAAAAAACGATTGGCAACAGGTGTTAGCTCAGGTGCCAATCTTAAAAAAAACAATCCATAATGAGCAAAAATATCAAAGTTTTAAATAAACAGATTTTTCCTTTTGCCTCAGGCTCCAGTAGGGCTGGCATCACCCTGTGACTATGTGTGTAGAGGGAATGAATGCATGGCTCTTTGTTCCTGCACATCTGCTGCACTCTCTCACTCAGACACCTAAAGAGCCTCTGGACTAAAGGAAAGGGGACAGGGCACCTCTGACTAACACACTTTGGCGACTTGCCTGAGGGAGGACGTGACAACAGAAATACTCCTCAGTCTACAGAATTTGGCCCCTTCCCGGAATCAAGCAAAAACCGTGGAATGTCACTTCAGGTGGGCCCAGATTCCAAGCCTAGTGTGGCCAATTCAAGCTGTATGACCATGGGCAAAATTCTGTGTACGATGGATAAGTCCCTATCTTTCGGGTCATCCCAAGGATTAAAAGAGAAAGCACTCAGGACCTACAAGCTGACAGGAGACTCTCAACAAACCTTGGTTCCTCTCTCCCCTCCCTTAAAACAACGATCTATCCAGTGAATGAGTTTTATAGCTAATACTTTTTCTCATTGCCTTTTTTTTTAAAGTAGAGACATATTTCTATAAAGAAAAGTTTGAATCTAGAAGAACATAAGCTTTTAATTAAGAAATCGGCAAGCAAATCCCTTTAAAAGGAAAAAGTGTAAAAGTCTTATAAAGATTACTTGCTGCAATGCACTAAGTTATGATGTGCTGGGTGACAATCAGAGCAGCAGTGGGACAGGACTGATCAAGTTAAGAAAACAGCATGCATCTGCACAGCTCCTGGCACAGAGCCGTGTTCATTTACACTGCCATTCTCAGAGAAATGCAAAGTCAGAGCCTGCCTTCTCTCAGCGGAGGAAAGAACCTTTCTCCACTGGAACCCAATCATAGGCTATTGGCACCACCCCATCTCTAACATCTAGACTTAGCCAACATGGTAAAGAAATTTGGTTTAATATGAAATAAAAACAAAAACAGAAGAAAAAAGAAAGATTACTTGCTGCAAATAGCTAGGGGGGCCACACAGCTTAGAATGTTTTTGGAGGAAAGTTCTATCAGAATACACCGGACTTAAGGGTAACAGCCTCCGCGATCGCTTACGTTCTACTGGGGGTCAACGCACCATGTTAACTTCTCAAGTAGCTGAGACTCCGTTCCCAGCATCTGGGAAAACTACCCAGATTTTAGACACTCAGTGGCTGACGGGCTCAAGAAAGCAAAAGCCAGAAGCCCAGCGGGGGACTGTGTTTCCACACTCCTTGGTGATGGAGCATATAAGAGAATTATTTGGGACAAATCCATTCCTTTAATTGAGAAGGCAACTCGCTCGCACACATCACAAATGGACCTGATGCTTCTGTAAAGTGAATCTCCAGTTCCTGGATATTAAGTTAGCTCCCTGCTCTCTGCAAATGCTACAGTGGCAAGCTTCTGAACACTGAGTTTCTTCCCACCGAAGCATAAGTGAAATTAAAAGATCGTTATTATCAGAAATTTCTGCAACAGGGTTCATTCTGCCAAGCTTTTCACTAATTTACTCTCCTGTTCTTCACTCGGAGAATACAGTTGGACAGTTTACTCCATTTCCCTGCAGATCTTCTCTTAAGTAAATAAATGTAGAGACACAAGTTCGCTGTTCCAGGAGCGATCTCAGGCAGCCGCAAATTTCTCTTGCCATCGCAGAACAACTCCTTTGCCCATAAGTTTTCAACCTTGGCCTGAAAGGATTCCAAAACTCAACCTTCTTTTCAATAATAAGCCAAACCTCACTTGGGTTTTCATTGCCTCTCTGTCTCGCAAATAAATAGACTCGGTGGGTTCCCATTTAGCCAAAGGAGTGCTGTGGTTAACCAGACCTTCTGGTTCACTGAGAGATAAGATGGCTGCCCGCCCCCCGCCCCACATGAGATAAGTGCTACTTCACGTCACCCTTTATTTTACACTCTAATCATTTTGCCTATTAGGTTTCTGTGCCAGCTTTCATTTGAACACGTTTTATAACTCAAAACTCACTAATCGGCTCTATTTCCCTTATTTTATAGACTGAGAAATCAAGGTCAGGGAGGTAAAATGACCCACCCAAGGTGACCCAGCTCAGGAACTGCAGGATGGAACCAGCACTGGGACCTACGTGTGAGGGCAATGGTGCCCAACAGGGTCACCTCCACCGAACCCCGAACCCCAGGGCTCCCTGGGACATAGGAGTTTCAAATAATGGCCCTTCCTTTCAATTCTCTCCTAGGCTGCCATGGCCCCACCATCAAAAGCCATGAAATACATTTACAGCTGACACTGTGACAGAAGGGCACAGAATTTTCAGGGCTGGCTCAGAAAGCACACCAAGACGCAGCCACCTTCCACAGCCGTGGTTACTGGATTCTGGCTTTGGTGCCCCGGGTAAAGGGAAATTCCTTCTTACCTTTTTGCCCACCTTCTGCCCCAATAGTCCGTACTTACTTTAAGAATCTTCTGCCCACGCTCCATCTGTCACGTGTTTTCACTTTTCCCAGAAACATTGGTTTGAATTTTTCCAAGACTTCCTGATGGTCTTTCAATTTTGATTAAGGCTTTTGGCCATGCCTTTTTGTCTTAATCCTTCTTGACTGGCATCAATATAAATAAATCTGGATGGAGCAGCATTTGCAAACTCCATTCACTTAATGGTGCCTCTCTTTTTCCAAGTCATTATCCCTGACCTCTAAGGGACTGAGCAGAGTTCCCCTCCATTTGCCACGCCCCAGAGACTGCCCCTGAACTCGGGGCATTTCCATTACTCAGGTCTCCTGCTCAGACTTCCGCTATTCCCCCAGGCACGCAAGTAACGGCTTGCTAAGCTATCGGAGTTCACTTTAAATGTTACAATCGGTCCCAGCAACTTACAGGAGAAAGAAAGAACCTCTCTCCATAGCAAGAAAGTTTACTTCTGAATTTAAGAATAAAGCAAAACCAAGAGTTCCGGGCTTCCCAACTCCTGGCACTTGGAGACACAAAGGTCCCATACCCTTCTTTCCTTTTTCATTGATAAAAGTTTCCATTTTAGATGGATTGCACAAGAAGATGGGTTTGGAACGCACAGGTGGCAAAAAGTTAAACTCATTTTTGTAGCAACTTTAAAATCGCTCAAGTTAATAAGGCGCTGTTGGTGAGAACCACAGACAATTGTTTGTTTCAATTTTGTCCAGCTCTGTTTATTTTTGTTGCTGTTCAGTTCAACTGCAAAACATTTTTTGCAATGAAAAAGACTGTTTTTGGACCTTCTGGGCTCTTTAAAGCACTTTAGACCTTCATATTTTTGCAGGCACAACACTTATTTTTCAATAAATTTATCTTCAGATTAATCTGTCATTGGCTAACAGTAAAAGTTAACACGAGTTGTTTACAACGTGCTGAGTACTGTTCCAAGCTTTTTCTATGGGTTAAATCATTTAGTTCTCACAGTAACCCTCTGATGTGATTAGCATTATCCCCACTTCACAGATGAGGAAACTGAGGCACGGTAACTTGCAAGGGTCACCCAGCTAGGAAATGGCGAATCATGGTCCAGGCCTAGGCAGTCTTGCTCCAGAGCACGTGCTCTATACCACAAGGTTCTACTGCCATTTTTATTTTTAATATTTGCCAATCTTTACATGCACAGAGGCCAGAACACAACAGCCATGAAGAGAATGACTACAGTTACGCTGTGGGAAAAGACTGAGAAAACCAAGGGTCCCATTCCACACAGACAGAAACTCACCTAAGACTGGGCCGAATCCTCTAGCACGCAGACACAGTGTACACACACTTTCCATTTATGTTTATGCTGTTCTATGTGGTTTCTGACCTCAGTAAAAGCCATTATTCCGATGACTGCGCAGCATCGCGGTGCAGATGGCTGAGGCCGGTTGCTTGCAGCATATTGCGTAATGCATTATTTATAGATGCTGTGATGTCATATCTATCAGAGACCTTCTCCAGACATTAATTCCTTGAAAACCCATCCTCAGAAGGCATCTGTAACACTCATCGGAACCAAATGCTTACAGCATGGATTCCTGCTATTAGTCTGCAGGAAGGGCTGGGTGACCATCCTGCATAGATAATTTCCCCACGTCCAAGATGATCTTGGTCAGATCGCAATATCCAGCTTCCTCAACAGCAGAGTCAACTGACATCCTCAAGCACCCTCAAAATTCACAACATTTTAAAGAAAACAAACCAAACGGTCAAGCCCAGGAAAAGGCAGAAATGTTAACCCTAAATTCTAACGTAGCTTTGCTACAACACCACACACGCAACACGCACATGCACACTCACAGCGTACTCCTTTAAAATACTCAAGGAAAGCGCACAGCCCACAAAACTTGTTTAAAACTGCATGTCACTTATACCACATCAAACATATTATATTAAAACAAAAAGGTCATCCCAACTTAGCAGCAGAGGATCAGTTTGTTACAACTGGTGACCAGGCTCCGGAGAAACCGGGTCATGGAAACACTCGATCTAAACATTACTTAAGTGTTTATGGGCTCCTCAGAATAGCTTCTGAGAATAACTACCCTTCAGGCAGGCAATTCCCTGGGTAGGGAGGTTTGCATGACCTTCCATTAGCATAAAATTATAATAAAAATGAAAAAGTTTTAAAATAATCATAATAGTAAGTATCAAAGACCAGAGCAGGCAAACAGGTTGCAGCCGGTTGGCTCGGCTCAGAAACGGCATCGGGGCAGTTCTCACACGCGGTCTGAGGCCTCAAAGAGAGCCAAGCACTCAGGCGGCACCTCCAAAGGTCACCTGCCACCTGTGCATGCACGCCACACTCCCCCAGCCCCCGCTCCGCCCTCCCAGCGCCCGGGCCGAGGGCGAGCCAAGGACATCTGCCACAGGGCTGGGGGCCGCTCCTTACGGTCCATGCTCTGGGGTCCACTGCGGAGTCCCACGCAGCCAAGAAATCCGCTGCCTTCTCAGAGACGTCTTGTGTGAGACAGATGGGGGGCTGCGGGGCTCCCGAGCACCCTTGGGTGCAAAGCAAAAACAAAACTCAACATCCTCTTTTGAGCGGACTAAACAACAGATGGCCACTGGTTTCCAGTTTCTACCAGAGGGAAGGAAATAAGAACGCCGGACTATTATTCGCAGGCTCCCTGGAATCCTCACTTTCTAGGCAAAGGCCCAGAAAAAACAAAACTACCCAGGAGCTCGAGTCTGGGGCGCAAGTGAAGACCCTGCCATCATTTTTTTTCACTTTCCAGAAGCCTCAGTACTTCCTCTGGGCCCTGACACTCACGCAGAAATGTGCTCTCACTCTCCCCTGGCCCTACCTCGAGCAAATAAATGACTTTTCCCTTCAGTATCAGTCAAGTAGACTGAGCGTTCCTTGAGAGTCAGAGCTGTGCCTTCCTCGGGGCCAGCAGCATCCGGCACTCACGTACAGATCTATACTGACAAATGACTTCTCACGGATGGGGGGTTCGGAGGGCAAGGCAGAGAGGAGGGGGACGGCTGTAACAGCAACTGGCATTTGTTGAGCACCTACCATATTCCATCTCAACTTCACAACAACTCCGGGAGATTGGGCCCATTGGTAGCCCATTTTACAGACGAGGAAACTGAGGCACAGAGAGGTTAAATAACTTGCTCCAAAGGAGCAAGTAAGGAAGTGGACGAGCTGGGATTCAGCCCTAGGCTGTCTGGCTGCAGGGCCTGGAAAGCGAAGGGCAGCGAGAGATGCAAGAAATGAAAGGCGGGGCCCTTTTTCTCACGGAACTTAAAATTAATTCAGAAGATGAGACCAGGAGTTCCCAGATGGCCATCTGCCCTCAATGCCAAAAGCTGGCATGAAGTTTTCTTCCCTGGTCCATGAAGAAATGAGATAAGGATAAGGAAATATTTACCAAGTGAGCTGTGTTGACAGAGTAAGGACAATCTTGGATTGTTTTTTAAAAATAGATAATTGTATTTATTTGCATGTAGAAAATTCAGGAGACACAAAAGGGTGCACAGTGGCATAGGTCTTCCTCTCGCCTCTGACCCTCAGCTATGCAGCACCTCTCCCTGGAAGCAGCGATGTCTAGAAGACTCCTGCGCATCAGGACACTCCTTAACATGAGATTTCGTCTTTCCTACGATTTGGGGTGTTAAACCATCCCTTCGTTTGTGAAATGATAAAGACAGTTGATGGTGGCGTTGTTTGTTTTTAATGTCCTCACTGGAGCAAGGAAGAAAGGAAAGGAGGGAAGAAGGGTGGAAGTGAGGCAGGAAGGAAAGAAAAGTCGTCAGCTCTATCTTCGTTCTCTAAATCCGTTTTAACAAGGTGACTAGATGGATGCTGTGGGAGGTCATGCATGTAGCTCTGGACTGGGGTCAGAGATTTGAGTTCCCTGGTCTGTCCCTTCCAACACGGGAGGCTCCAAGGCAGTCCTGCCCTTTGGTGGGCTCTGCCGCTGCCCAGGGAGAGCCGAAATGGACAGGTGCCTCTCAGGCGCAGAGAGGGAGGGAAACAGGAGCGGAAGAGCGGGCCTGCTGGAGCAGGGAGGACCAAGGACGGAGGACACCCTCCGGGAGTGAAGGCACGGAGGTGGGAATGTTCAGCCACCCAGGGGCAGAGTGGGGAGCGGGGACGTGGGACCGCGAGGGAAGGCAGACCAGATGAGGGGCCCCTGACGCCGCACACGGGGAGAGCAAAGCGGGCCCACAGGCAATCGGCAGGGCCCTGGAGGAATGGGAACCTGCTTGGAAGGGAAATTCGTCCCCAGAAGTCTGCAGGGGACTGTTTCACTCCACTGCACGCCTCCTGACAGCTCTTATCGAGGAGCTGCTGCCGTCGCCTGCCTGGGCCCCCCCTGCCCCTACTGCCACCCCAGGCTGCTGCAGTGGAGAGCTATCTGCGGGAAGCAGAAGAAACCGGTGAGTAAATTTAGTACATACAATTCAAACAGCACGTTTAAACAGAGCCCAGTGTCAGGGGGCCGAGGGGTTACTCAACCCCAGGGAGGGAAGTGACTCAGTTCACCCAAGAAGCCCTAGGATGTGGCCCAGCCAGGCACCTGCTGAGGTTTCCAAAATTTCTAACAGTGAGGAAAGGCAACATCAGTTCAAATGCAAAGTCAGTGAAGGCAAATGAAGCACCATTAGCTCCTTGCACCCACCAGTCCACAGGCTGCTCTTGGTGGACTTCAGAGCCGGCACCATGGACCCACTGGCTCAAGGGCTGATCACACCTGTATAAAACAGTGCCCCGTGGCCCGGCCCGGCCTTCTGTCCCTGCTCTGCTCTCCTGAACCCGCAGGCCCTGGCCAGTGACGCTCTGCAGGGAAAGTTTCCCAGGCGGCCAAGACTGTCCTGCTGCTGGGTTGTTAAAACAAAGACATTAAATTGCTATGTCAACTGTCATCTTTAAATAAAAACTTAAGCCCAGCCATAAATCTGAAACTGGTCCCAAGGGTTTAATGGGATAATGTATAACAGGCCCAGGGGGGAGGGCCGAGGCCTGCCCGGCGGCATGGGGATTCCCCCCACAGGTCACCCCTCGGTCTGGTCGCAGCGGGTGGAAGGCTGTGGCCATGGCTCTGCTTGGAGGTGAGCAGCATCCCACTTCTATCATCAACAGTGCGAGGTGCTGTCGGGGGCAGGGTGGGGGACAGAATCCTTCCAGGGGTCCTCAGAATTCAATGGCATAACAATCAACTCGGGGACTTGTTGAAAATGCAGCCTACTCTCCCTCCCCCCCCCCCCCCCCCCCCCCCCCCGCCCCCCGGGTCCCCAGACTGAATCACTGGGTCTGGAGGGTGATCTGGAAAGCTGCATTTTATCAGGCTCCTCCCCCCTCCCACGTGGTTTGTGAACACACTTGGAGAAACCTCAAAAAGGAAAATAAGGGACTCGCACTTAGAACCGTGGAATCAGGGGTTAGGAACTCCACACCCTCAGCTGACAGACACTGCCTCCCATAAGATGTTGCTGAGAAGCAGGAAGACTCTAGAGCCAGAGGTGCTGGCAGGCAGGACTGCGGCCAGGTCCAAATCAGGGGTCCTGCAGGGGCAGATCCAGCTCTTGTGGGGCCAGAAGCTGATCCGACTTAGAGAGTCTCTTTAAGAAAAATAATTCAAAATTACCACACTCAAATAAAATTCAGCACAGGGTCCCGTGGATCACTTGGCCAGCTTCCCAGGATCTCCGCCTTGGGGCCACATTCCCCCTTTCTCAGTGGGCTGCTTCTCCCGCTGCTGAGTGGTGATGACTAAATGGCAGGGGTTCATGTGTCCTTTCCCATGGAGGGGCAGACTTTAAACCTAAAAATCCTACAGAAATCAGGCTCTTGGGGGCCAGGCATCCAGTACCAATCCATGACGTTGAGCTACTGACCTTTCCATCAGCAACCTCCCCACGTTTCAGCCTAAAATTTGCTGCCCTGAGAGAAATACACTCGACTAGTGTCCCTAAAACGGCCCCAGTGTTTCTGGGGTGCAACCTCTCCACACACCACCACCCCAAAATCATGTATGTCCTATAATGTGGCTGTTCTATTTGGAAGACTTCAATCCCAAAAGGATCCAAAGCACCAAGTAACCCATGCCGGGAAGCTCACAGCAGCTCTGTTTCTAACAGGAAAAGAGGGAAAAGACAACAGCTGACTATTATTACTCATGTATTACATGCCAGGCATTGTACTAGGAACTTCATATGTTTTAGTGTATTTAATTCCACAACTCTACGAAACCCACTTTACAGATGGGAAAATGGATGCAGAGGTGAGCTGGTAAACCAGCTCTCCTAGGAAAAAAGAAAAAAAGCTTGATTCTTAGCGTTTGCTGATTTCCACGGTGTAACTATTCAGCGATAGTCAATTTCAAGCTATCTATGATAGAGCAACCAGTTTCCAAATTTCCCAATAATTTAGCAATTGGCTCAGAGGTTGAGTAACTTGCCCAAGGTCGCTGAATGATAGACTCAGGGTGGGAACCATTCTGCCCAGCTGTCCATAGGCCTGTGAATACCCAACGACAGGCAATGGCTAAAACGCACACCCACAAGGGGCTCTCTGACCCACAGGAAACACGGCAAGGTTTACAGGACCACTAACATTAATAGAAGCTCCTTACAATAACGCTACGAAGTCCTACTTTATTACAGTGGAAACTCTACTTTATTAGAGATATTAAGTGCAATGATTTGCTTAATTTGATGGAGGGGAAACCAGCTCCACTGAAGTGCTTGAAGAGGGGTGACTATTTTATTCCCATGTTGCAGATGTTATCTGCAAAGACACAGAGAGGTTCCACAGCTAGTAAGCGGTGGAGGTGGGATTCAGACCCAGCCAGTCCGGTTCCAGACCATCCTCTTAACCACAACGTTCCTCATAAAACATATTAGGCGAAGAAAGGACACAGACCAACACTACAGATTCTTAGCACTGTGCAGGAGTCACTCCTGGAGCGGGAGGCGGCAGAAAAACCTCTGGACTCCAGAGTCAGGCCAACCAGGGTTTCAAAGATTCTCCATCAACTCTTAAGAGTGACCGGGGCAAGTTACCTAACAGCTCCTGGCTTCAGGTCCCTCCTCTGGAAAGTGATGATAACAATACCTATCTCACAGGGTTGTCGTAGCAGTGAAGAGAGAATTCACAGACCCGGGTGAATACAGACCCGGGCCCACTTTAAGCACTCAAGGGGCCTCGGCTATTGATATGAACACAAAGGGTAAGATAGTTGGAATCAAGGGCACAATTTCATCTTCACCGTGGGTTTATCCCATCAAATTGCTCCAAATTATGGCTCAGGCTGGTCCACTGTGACAGCCAAGCATAATCCTCTGTAATGTCACTGCCTCCCTGGCGCCAGTTACTTCTCCACCCTGGTGTTCGCCCTCCGTGGCGGCCCCACAGCTCGTCTCCGCCGCGCAGGACTGAGGGCGCCCGGCAGCCCAGGCCCAGGTGCCAGTCGGATGCGCGGGGTCCAGCCGTGCCTCCTCTGGGCGCGCGCGGCCATCATTTGCACCAGCGCCCGCAGCGGAGGCGGAGAACTCAGGAAGGGGGGGACCCCGCGCGACGTTCTGCTTTCGGAATCTAGAACCCATACTACCTCCAAAGTTTAGGGGTGTTTTGGATCTCCTTTTTCTCCCAGACCATCACTAAAATGAAAACTGCTGTTATTTCCCCTTTTGGCCAAACTTCCTCCCCGGGGTGCCTCTCGGGGCTCTGCGCTCCCGCCGCGGCTGGGACCGCAAGAGACGCTGGATCAGGCGGGGAGAAGTGGCGCGGTCAGCCGGGGCTCCCGTCGGGGCGGCATCGCCAAGCCGCGCCCGAGTCCAGGAGGGAGGGTAGGATGCCCCAGGCGGGCAGCGCCGGCCGGGGCGGTTCCTCGCAGTCCCTCGGGGCGCCCCGATCCCCAGCCCACGGGCCCCGGGAGCCGCTTACCTGACGGCGGCCGCTTCCTGCTGAGCCGGCTCACCGCGCGGTTAAACATCGCCGCGGGCGCCCGGGGGAGGAAGGAGGAGCAGCCGGGCGGCGCAGCGGCTGAGCCGGAGGAAGGAGAGGAGGAGGAGGCTGAGGAGGAGGAGCCGCCTCAGTACCGCCCCGGCGCGCCCGGCCCCCGACCCGCCGCCCTCCTCCCCGCCAGGCGCCGCGTGGCGCGCTCGGTGCGCCCTGCCCGCCCACCCACTCGCCCAGCCAGGGGCCCCACGGTCCCGCCCGGGCCAGGGCGGACCCGGGAGACTCCCAAACGTCGGGATGCGTCCCCGAGCTCGGGATGGAGCGCTCTCGCCTGCAAGGAGCCCACGCCGCCCGGGATTTTGGAACCCTGCTTCAGGCGGTTCGCGCGTCTCGGGGCCCCCTCGCAGCTTCGCGGGACTCGCCAAAGAAGCTGCCCTGGGCCCCGCCCCGCCCCGCTCCCAACTCCAGCGTCCATCCCAGTCCCCCGCCCTCTCCCTGCAGCTCCCAGGAACAGGCAGGGCACCCCGGGCGCACCGCGCTTCGTGGCTCCACGCGCTTTCGCGAGGCTGCAGGCGGGGGTCACCTTCCGGTTCACAGACCGGGAAGCCCAGGCCTCGCGGTTGTGCAAAACCCGGGCGCGGCCCACGCCTTCGCCTCCTCGCCCCCGGGATCCAGAGTCTCCGCGCGCCCGGGCCTGTCCGCCCTGCGACTCCGTGGGCACTGGGTTTTCCCATGGCCGCGACTGCCGGTGGGGCGTCCCCGGGGTCCCGGCCGCGGTGCCCGCGCGCCAAGCAAGCCGAGCCGCCGCCGGTGGGCGCCCTCTCCCGGGCCGCGCCTCGCCGCGCGGGCCCCGGAACTCGGGCACCTTCTCCCCTTGGCCTTGAGACTCCGGGGGCGCACCTCGGGGGAATTTTGCAGGAACCTCTTGGGTTCCAGCGCGGAGAGATGCCTCTGCCCCCACACACCGCCTGGTCGGGTACACTTCTAATAACTTTGGGGACACGTGGCGCCCCTTGCGGCAGGGCTTTTGCGCTCTCAGCTCGGGCCCGCTCTGCGCTCTCGTTCTGATTTCTCCTGCCGCCGCCGGTCACCTGCTCAGCGCCGCGCGCTCCTCCCTAATCTATTATCTCATTTCTTCTGCAAAATAGCCCAAGAAGGGGTGTCAGCCCCATGTTCTTGAGCATTTGGTTTGCAAGGAATTGTCTTTCTGGCGAGGCTTCTTTTTCTCCTCGTGTATCTGGCTTTGTCTCTAAATTGGCCTTTATTTTTAGCTGTACTAATTGCTATTTTTCTAAACCGCTCCCCAGTCGTCGCCCCCCGCCCCCCCGCCGACCCATCCTTTTGCAGGATTTTCACTAGTTGGCACTTTCTTTTATGTGTTCTGTTCTGCGCTTCCCGTTCCGCTAATTTTTCCTCCCTCCCTCAACCCACCCCCTCGGTCCCAATTCCACCCCGTCGCTGGCCTTCTATGGTTGCTTCTCATTTCTCTCTCCTCTTCCGCCCCGAGTCTTTGTAAGTATTTCTAAGCGCTCTCCCGCTCTGCCGCCGAGAGCGGCTTTTCTGGATCCTGAAGGTTGCAGGGGTTTTCAGCTGCAACTCGAGAAGACCACGGTCGCCAGGAACGGGGAACCCAGCGGAAAAGCTCGATTTTAAAAACGTCTGCCCCTGTCGTTGGCCTGCCCGGGCGTGGGCTCTCCGCAAGCTTCCACTCCGTTGTAATGGGATCGAGCTGATACTATAGGCAGCAAAAGTAGAACTTTTCAACTCTGGAGCCAAATGAGGTCGCTGCATTCTCATAACAATAACAAGGGAATTTGTGCAACACACCCCGCCAGAAAACTTCTCTGGAGACCGGCGGTAATTACAAGTAATTCTAACACAGGAAATAAGGAGACCGGCACAGTGGGTAAAAATTGGACATAGCTAAATGTTATGCCAGTTGCCTGGTCCACCCTCGCAGTGTCCTGAAAAACCCTGGTGTGGCCTAGGACGCGCTTGTGAATCCCTCTTGAGCTAAGGCAGCCAGGTCGTTCTGAAATGAAGGGAAAATAGAACAGCTTCAAATCACTTTTACTGTGCTGTTGGCTTATCAGATGCTGAGTAGAAAAATAAAGACCCATGGTTAAAGTTTAATGTACACAGTTTAAAATTTTTGTTTCAGGACATCAAAAGACTGTCCTCACAGTTCCTAAAGCTTGCCAAAAGAAAACACACACACACACACACACACACACACACCCCACTCCCCACGTGATTTAGTTCTGCCTGCCCGTAGTCCCTGGGCTGGAGGTGCTTGCCATCCACACAGCATCGCCCACTTTCCTGAGCTCCTCTCAAGCCTTCACAAACAATGGTAGCCAATCTGGGCAAGAAGAGAACAAAGCAGTTTGGCCCCTTGCTTACCTCTGCTTGTTTCACCTGCTGTCTCACAACTTTCATTCAGACCAGACGAGGAGCAGAAGCCCAGGATGTCTTCTGGCAAAGCAGAATTTCAGAGTGATCACTGACTTTTTAGAGTTATTTTTTTATTCTATTCAGAAACTTAAAAAATTTACTAAGCTGTGAATATATTATAGAGTCTCACAGAATAAAATATTTTATATAAAATATATTTTAGAGCCTCTTATAAAGAATATTCTAGGCTATTTGAGGCGGGTGAGATATAAAATAAGTAGATAAATAAGTGCCTGACTTGGAGTCGAGAGACCTGGATACCAATCCCCGCCATTTAGCAGACCAGCTGTGTGTCCTTAAACACAGCCTCATGGGACTGGACAAGGAAAGGATGCCACCTACATTCTAAGGGTATGTGTTCACCAGCAATAAACCACACCACCTGGCACAGTGCCAGCACATGTAGACACGCAAAAGCGTACTGGAATCTGAATTACTCTCACTCCCCTTACAACGCTGTTGCAATACACTTTACGCACTCTGAAAAGTGGCATTTTTAAAAGAAATTATGTGAAGTTGGCAGGATTAGTAAATGTGATGCAGCTAATACACAGTGAAGGGAGGAAAGTGCATTGTTACAACCTCTCTGGAAGGCAAGAGAGGAGAGGTCATATTTGGCAACATGTATAAGAGCCTTCAAAATGTTTATATCCATTGGACCAGTGAATAATTCTACCACTGGTAACTTATGCCAAAGGAATAATAAGAGATGCAAAGATTTATGTGTAGACTTGAACATCATAACTCTTCTTTTATCAGTGCTGTTTATAGTAGCTATAAATGCTCATTAGTGGAATTACTAAATTGCAGTATATTCCTATGATAGAATATTTAACAGTTGTAAGAAGTGTGTGAAGAATATTTGGTGATGAAGGAACACGCTTATGATGAAGTCTTCATTGTAAAAATCAGCACACACATATAGAGAAAATTTTCAGTGGGCGAGAGGAGGGAATATAGTAGATTCATGTATAGAAAGCTTACGGGAAACTATACCAAAATGTTACTAGTATTTCTCTTTAGATGGTGGGATAATGGGTAATTTTAAACTTTCATTATTATATTCTCCTGTTTTGCAAAATTTCTGTAGCGTATATCTTTTAAGTTGGGAAGAATCAGTAGTTGGAAACTGGTCAAAATCTCTACTGGGTTTAATCTACAAATGTTTAAGTCCCCATTTTTACATTTAGTTTTTCTTTCTTTAAACTCTCAATTTCCCATGGAAGCAGCAAGCAGACACCAACTGCTTTTCCCGTCTTTGATCTCCCTTGCATGTCTTTTTTTTTTTTTGAGGAAGATTAGCCCTAAGCTAACTACTGCCAATCCTTCTCTTTTTGCTGAGGAAGACTGGCCCTGAGCTAACATCCATGCCCATCCTCCTCTGCTTTATACATGGGACACCTACCACAGCATGGCTTTTGCCCAGTGGTGCTGTGTCTGCACCCAGGATCTGAACCGGCAAACCCTGGGCCGCCAAGAAGCGCAATGTGCCAAATTAACCACTGCGCCACTGGCCCAGCCCCCCCTTTGCATTTCAAGTCACACATTCATGGCATATCACAGCTGGAAGGATCCTTGGAGATCAGCATATTGTGCTGCAGATCAGGAAACTGAGGCCCAGACAGCTTTAGCTAGGACATGATGCTGGGTTTCCTGAGTCCTAGGCAGGTGGTCTTCCTAGGACAGCACTTTGTATCTTGTGCCATGGTGCCTCCATGGAGATGCACCTAAACAGGAAGATCTTTCTGTACATTTAAGATTCTAATTGGGAACAGGGCAGATTAATCACATCAGCATGCAGTCATACTTGTATTTCTCCAATCTCAAAACAAAAATGAAACTCCTCTATTGCCCTATTTCACTGAAGCACTTTTCAGCAAAGTGCCTCAAATGAGTTGTCTGTACTCAGTCTTCCATTCCTCTCCATCAACTCTCCTAAACCCTCTCTGGTCTGACTTCCATCTCCACCACCCCACTAAACTGCTCCTGCAAGGTCACAGTGACTCCCACCTTGGGAAATCCAAGGGTCAGTTCCATCTCCGTCTTACTTGACCTACTATCAGTATTTGACCCTGTTGATCCCTCCCTCCCCCTTGAACCACTTTCTTTCTCTGACTTCCAGGACACTATGCTCTCCTAGTTTTTCTTCTGCTACATTTGCTGTTCCCACTGCCACCCCTCCTAACTCTTAAAGGTGGGCGCCACATGTTTAGTCTTTGGATCTCTTCTCTTCTCTTGCACACTTACTCTCTTGACCATCTATCTCATCCAGTCTCATAGCTTTTAATACCATTTTTTTTTAAAAAGACTATTTTTTAGAGCGGTTTTAGGTTCATGGCAAAACTAAACAGAAGGTACAGAAAGTTGCCAGATACCCCTTAACCCCCAACACACACAGTCTCCTCACTATCAACCGTCCCCACCAGAGTGGTACCTTTCTTACAACCAATGAGCCCAGATGACATATCATTATCACTCAAGTTCATATTAAATACCATTTTTATACCATAGAACTCCCACATTTCTGTCTCCAGCCTGGCCCTGCCTGCTTGACATCTCTTCTTGAATACCTGATAAGACATCTCAAACAGAGTGTGTCCAAAATGCATCCTCCTCTTCCTGTCCACACCGGCTCCACCTGTAGCCTTCTCATCTTGATTAAAGGCAGGTTCACCCTTCCAGTGGCTCAGACCAATTATCTTGGAGTCATTTCTGCTCATCCTTTTTCTCACACCTCACATCTACTCCATCAAGTAATCCTGCAGGTCCTACCTTCAAAATAAACCCAGAAGCCCATGCTTGCACCATCCCTATCTCCACAACATCACCCTCGTCGGAGCCACCACCCAGTGCCTGGATCACTGCAGCAACCTCCTCACAGGTCTCCCCGCCTCCACCCAGCAACCAGAGTAAACAAAGGAAGTCTCACCGTCTCAACCCTCTGCTCCAAACAGCACTGGCTCCCATGTTGTCCCAGGAGAAAGTCCAAGATTTTATAAAGACCGACAAGGCCCCACGTGCCCAAGACCTCCTCCACTCCCTTCTGACCGCCTTTCCCACTTTCCGCCCTCATCTGCTCCTGCCAAATCTCCTCTTTATCCCTCAGCGCTCCCCCACCCCCGCCCCCACCTTGTGACCTTTGCACCAGCTGTCCCCTCTGTCTAGAACACTCCACCCTGGATATGCACGTGGCCCATCCCCTCAGTTTCTTCAGGTCTTTATCGCAATGTCACCTCATCAGTGCTTAAAATGGCGGCCCCCACCCTGTCCTTCCACGCCCCTTTTTCCTTCATCCCTGCCGTTTCTCCATAGCACATATCACCTTCTAATGTGCTATATTTACTTATTATGTGTGTTGTCTGTTTCTCCCTACGGTCCTACCTTCACCCTGCCTTCCATTCACCCTGGAATGTGAGCTCTGCTGTCCCAGCGCCCAGGAGAGGGCCTGTCACACAGGAAGCATTCAACAAAAATGTGCTGATGAATCAAGAGAAGAAATAGTTAGCTCCTCTCTCCCGAAACTCCACTAAGATGACAGAAAAGGCATTAAAAATAAGGTGTTTTTTTTTTTTTTAAGATTTTATTTTTTCCTTTTTCTCCCCAAAGCCCCCCAATACATAGTTGTATATTCTTCGTTGTGGGTGCTTCTAGTTGTGGCATGTGGGACGCTGCCTCAGCGTGGTTTGATGAGCAGTGCCATGTCCGCGCCCAGGATTCGAACCAACGAAACACTGGGCCGCCTGCAGCGGAGCACGCGAACTTAACCACTCGGCCATGGGGACAGCCCCAAAAATAAGGTATATTTTTATAATAAGGTATAATCCCACCCGGACAAGGTTTACAGGAATGGAGGCAGTAATGGAGAAGAGATTTCAACCAACCTGAAGCAGATAGAGAGGCAGAAATTGATTTAAAAGGAACTGCAATCCATATGCAGGCAGCTGGGTGCTGGGAAGGAGGCCAGTTTACCTTGTGAGCCTCCGATGAGCCCCAAACTGAAAGGCACAGGGCACAGATAGCAGGGCAGGCAAGAGATGGACACAGGGGTGAGATAACAGTCTGTATAAGGGGACTCGGGCACCCTTCCACCCCAGCCCAGGAAGCCAGAAATTATTGTGAGAAATATGGAAGCACAGAGGCTGTGGGCTTAGGGATCCCTGGCCGAGCGAGCTGAGGTGCAGATGAGGCTCTGGGCCAAAGGAGAGTGAAGTGAAAGTCTGCGTCTAGAACTGTGAGGCTCCTTCCCCTCCCTGCGCCCAGAAGCCCAGCAGCCAGATGTGCTAGAAAAATTTAATATCTCCCTCCAAATAAATAAATAGATAAAACACAATAGATATTAACATTTAGGGGTTCCCCAAAGTTAGCATGCCCAATCACAGAGAAATACACTGTCCTCATGCCTCTTCCACATTCATACAGCTTTTGACACCTCCCTCTCAAAAGGAGGGGTATACAAGATCACAGACATTTAAGGAATGCCTCCAACATGAGAGAGAGAGACGAAAGTAAACAGAAGATAAGAATTCAGGGGAAAAGCAACAGAGGGAGTAGATTAAGTCTCTTTTTAAACTATAATTATCTTAGAGAGAGAGAAGCTATTGCACCCATAAAACAAGAAAGAAAGGTTGGAATATAAAAAACAGAGAACAAAATATTTCAAAAAAGGCTTGGAAGAAAGTTGATGAAATCTCCTAAAAATCAGAAGAAATGAAGAAATGCACAATAAGACAGAAAGAAAAAAATTAGAGAATCAGTCCAAGTAACAGGAGTTCCAGAAGGACCTTAAAGAGGAAATAGTAGAGAGGAAATTAAAGATGTAATTCAAGAAAACTGCCCAGATTGAAGAAAACATCTCCAAACTGAAGGAGCCCACAAAGTGGGCCTATAACAAAGTACACCAGCGTGAGACTTCAGAACATAGACAATTTCCAAAAATCTTACAAAGAGCACACTGCTGGTGGGAATGTAAAATGGTACACCCACTTTGGAAAGCATTTTGGAAGTCCCTTAAAAAGTCAAACATACACCTAACATATAAGCCAAGCATCCCACTCTTAGGTATTTGCCCAAGAAAAGTGAAAGGATACGTCTATACAAAGACGTTACATGAATGTTCATACCAGCTTTATTTGTAATATCCCTAAACTGGAAACAACCCAAATGCCCATCAACAGTTGAATGGATAAACAAACTGTGGTACAACAGAATGAATAAAAAATAATGAATTATTGATATATTCAACAATATGGATGAATCTCAAAACAATTATGCTCAGTGAAAAAAGACAGCCCCAAAGTGGTACATACTGTGTAATTCCATCTAGGTAAAATTCTAGAAAATGCAAACTCAACCATGGTGACAGCAAGTAGATCAGTGGTTGCCTGTGGATAACTGGAAGTCGGGGTGGGGAGTGGGGTGGGAAGGCTGGATTTCAAAGTGACACGAGGAAAGTTTTGGGGTGATGGATATGTTCATTATCTTGATTGTGCTGATGGTTTCGCAGGTGTATACTTATGGCAAAACTTAAATCATATACTTTATGTATATGCATTTCATCATATGTCAATTATACGTCAATAAAGTTGTTTGTAAAATCACTTATGAGTTGAGAATGTAAAATGGTGCAGCCCCTTTGGAAACTGCTTGGTAGGTCCTCAAAAAGTCAAATATGGATAATAAATAAATAAATAAATTCACAGTATAACTCAGAAATTCCATTCTATATATCTACCCCAAAGAAATGAAAATAAATATCCACACTAAAACTTCTACACGAATGTTCACAGCAGCACTATTGATAATAGCCCAAAAGTGGAAACAACTCAAATATCCATCAACTGATGAATAGATGAACTCATGTGCTATATCCCTTTAATAAAATATTATTTGGCAATTAAAAATGATGAAGTCCAGATGCATGCGACAACATGAATGAACATAAAAAATGTTATACTACGTGAAAGAACTATCACAGAATACCACATAATGTATGATCCTATTTATATAGTAAAGTCCAAAATAGGCAAATCTGTAGACAGAAAGTAGCGTAGTGGTTACCTAAACCTGGAGACAAGGGGAGAATGGGGAGTGACCGTTCACTGATAGGTACAAGCTTTCTTTCGGCGATGATGAAAAAGTTCTAAAATTAGATTATGGTGATGGTTGCACAACTCTGTAAATATACTAAAAACCATTTAATTGTAGCTTTAAATGGGTGAACTCTATGGTATATACATTATATCTCAACAAAATTGTTCAAAATTTTTTTTTTAATTTACAAAGATCAAAAATAGGTCACATACAAAGGTTTAGAAATCAAATTGTCACTGGACTTCTTGGAAAGCTGCTGGAGTATATGCAACAAAAATGAGAAAATGCAAAACGAGAGGGAAACACAGGCTCCCAGGAACAAGGGACCCAACGTCAGAGACACAGTCCCCGCTGGTATGACGGTTGTGCGGCAGAGCAGGGGAAGCCAGTCCAGGCAGGATGACAGTGAAGGCTCCAGGAGCCTCATTCGATGAGTCTGAACGTTTACAAATTGTATTGACAAGCACTTGATAACTCTGTTGCTGTATGTCGTTAAAATTAGTGACAAGTATAGAAAACTAAGCAAAGAAAAATCCGGCAATTAGTAACTCCAGGAAAGAAAATTAAAAGTACAAGAAAGAAAACAATCAATATATGCTATTTGTGGTCAGCTTTGACAGTCATAATTAGTAAACATTATTAACTGAAAACTTTGATATATTTGGGGGAGAGGGACTGAAGAGAATGAAAAGTAAGAAAACTAAACTCTCATCTACCACATGGGAAGTCAGCAGAAAAATCCCGAAACTGTTGCATGAAGAAACACCAGTATTGTATATTGTTCATGATATATGGGAGTAAATATCAGAAGAAACAGCTAAAACTAAAAAATGGCGGCCTCTGAAGAATCAGCAGTATGCCTAGGAGAGGGTGGGGAAGCGGAATCCTACTTTTCATTGACTTTTGTTACTATTTGACTTTTTAAACTATTACACATATAGATCAGTTTAATGAAAATAAAAATTAATTTAAAAAAATTCTAGTAATCACCACATGGTGAGTATATAACAAAAGAGGTAAGACTTGGCGATATCGACAGTAATAGTAACAGCTGGGTTTCACTGAGCACTTACCCCATGCTCGGCACCATTCTAAGAGTATTTTAAATACTGTTCTCACGTGACAACCCCCTGGAGGGGTCTCAATCCTGGGACTGCCTCTTGTGGCAGTTGGATCACCAACTGCAAGTAAAACTGTGGCTCTTCGTGGATTAAAAAGCACATTCACACATATTTGCATTTGATCTTCAGTAAACCTTGTGATCTAGGAATTTATGGATGTAGAAACTGAGTCTTAAAGAGGTTTGCAGAACTGCTCAACATCACAGGGACAAGTGAAAATGGAGGGCTGGAAGTCAGGTCTCTCGGCTCGCAGTGCTCCTTGCACAACTGCCTCACACCCAGGAAAAAATGATTTTTAAAATCACTGTCCCAGGGGCCAGCCCGGTGGCACAGTGGTTCAGTGCGCAACATCCCGCTTTGGTGGCCCGGGGTTCGCTGGTTCCGATCCTGGGTGCGGACATGGTACTGCTCGGCAAGCCATGCTGTGGTAGGCGTCCCACATGTAAAGTAGAGGAAGCTGGGCATGGATGTTAGCTCAGGGCCAGTCTTCCTCAGCAAAAAGAGGAGGATTGGCAGCAGATGTTAGCTCAGGGCTAATCTTCTCAAAAATAAATAAATAAATACGTCACTGTTCCAGCTGTTACTCTGTAACACTGTTCTCTTGCGTTATTTTTAAATGTTAAAGGAGAAAAGGGTTTGGCATTTCCAAGAATCTTAACCTGGATTTCACTTCAAATCTAGATATTAAAAAAT